ACTGCTTGGAGTGAACACAGGTTCATGTGAAAAAATGTGGTAAATATCTGAATGGTGTATGCCAGAGGTAGCCCCCATGCAGGTCACCATCTATGGTGGCACTAGGACCCTCAGAAGGCATGCCATGGTTTATATTTATTGTTCCTCCAAAGGAAAACCACATATTACGTCACATATAGCAAGGCATGGTGGTGGTAACAATTTTCTTCCAGCAGAGGGCACTCTATGGCAGGACGTTGGACACATTCTTGTGTTAAAGAATAGTTAGGCAGTGCAACAGGCAGGACAAAAAATATTAAAGGCAGACAGAGTGAAATGTCCTTGGTGGCTTTGGGGTGTCTGAACAAGATTTGCTCTGAGAAAAGTCTTTGCATGCATTAGAGAAGGAAGAACTAGCATTCAGGCTTCTAGTGGACCTGTTTTCTTATTCTGACATTTGACATCTGATTTATACAGCATCTAATTATTTTGTATACAGAAAGCAGATAAAGTCTATTAGATCCACCTAGTTTTCTCGTTTGTCTGTCTGCTTCACAAGTTATTCCTGGTCCTGTAATCATTCTTGGCATAGCTGTATGTTTATCCCTAGCATTTCTAAAATATTTTACATAATTTTCCTGTGCTGGATGGGTCAATGATCTCATGCAGTTCATGCTTTCACCTATGTGCTATGAGGAATAACATAAGCTTATCTGTATACTCATAACAATTGCTTTACAGCTTACTTATTTCATTGATAGTGTTCAAATTCAGCAGTGCTTTAAGGTGTATGTATATATCAGTCCCTGACTGGAAAGATCTTATAGTCTTGGTGAAAGTTATGTACTTCCAGTGTGTCAACTGGTCAATCTAATTTCCATTGGGAGCAGGGTGACAATGCAAAAAGACACTTGGGAGATGGTTGTCACCCCATAACAGGAAGTGCCTGTGCAAGAAAATTCATGGCCAGATTACCAGCTATTATTTCTATAAAAGCTGCAAGTGTAACGAAATTGAAAACATTCCAAATTAGATTAACGTGTTAACTTGTATGATACCCCTAATTGTGTTTTTGATCTTTTTATGAACACTGTTCTGGTTATTGGGGAGGAACATCACATGGGCAGATCTATATATACTTTGCATGACATACCACTTACGTACAATTATGTCCATTAGCAGTCCGTCAGCACTGATTCAAAAGTTGGTTACCTGACATGCTCTTCAGCTTCATGACAGAACCAGCCTCCCTATCCCTCCTTGTTATCATTACTTTCATGTAGATGGCCGTGAGGCATAGCAAATTACATGAGCTTCACATGGTGTGAAGGGCATTGTGCCCAGACCAATGACCTGTCCAAAAACACTCTACACTTATTACTTACTAAGGAACTTTATTGTTTCATAACCACACCTCCCAACTTTCTAAGATGAGAAAGAGGGATATCTTCCAGCAAAATGTCTTTCTTCTATGAACACGCCACGGCCCCATTTTTGTGGACCATTAACAATTTTAATGCCAAAAATGATTGGGTGAACCCAGAATAGGTTTTTTTGTTTGTTTTACCGGTACTTTTCCTTCATACTGTCTTTTCGAAATGGCTAACAAGATAATTCAGAGTTAAGATAAGATAAAAGGTGACACTTTGGGTAGTTAAATAGAACCTTTTCCTAGATATCTATATAGACCAAAAAGAGGATCAACTGATGAGGAAAGAGGGATTTGATTCCAAATAAGTTAGGAGGTATGCTTAAGGCAAGTACGATGCAAGATTTCATGCTAAGATTGTTTTCATTTGGTTTTACAGTTTGTTTGTTTTTACACAAGATATGGATTTCAGCCATTGCCAAGTTGGCAGCTAAAACACTCTAAAGTTTTGGAAATATTTCACCCAGTAGGCGAGGACTTAATTGCCTTCTTTACACAAATAGTATTCACATATAATACTTTCCCTGTATCTAAAGCCTATAATACTTCCTCTAAAGCCTTGGTCCTCAACTGGTGTTCAGTGGGCCGTTGCATGCCTTCCACTTTTCTAGGTGGGAGGCTCCGCTGCTTCATCCTAGCGCTGCACTGTCAGTTCTTGCGCTAAGCAGCCAAAATATGCTGCCTGGCGCCGAGTGTCAGCTTGGGGTGGGATGGGGCTATGGCCGCGAGGGAGCTCCTTCCATCCATCCATACTTGCATATTCACTCAATGGTTTGTGCAATATATTGCTGATCATATGGAATTTCTTGGAGAGTATTGGATTTACCTGAATAGGTGAACCAACATCTTCCTTGATCAGGATTCCTTGTCTGTAACCTACAGTAACCCAGGTTCTCACATTTTATTGATCCCATCCTTGCTAAATATTATTATAACATCCATCTTTTCTCTCCATAGTTTCCTGACATGCTGCCTTGGAGAGGCTCTTCATATATATACTGAAAGGTCAGGGGCATGAAGAAGACGCACGTGATAAAAGACCAGCACAGACTTTCAGATCTGCCCTTTTCAGGTTCATGCCGCTCATCTGTGAGAATTCCATCAAAGCTAATCAACTAGTACATGTAACACAAGCCATCTCCAAAGAGCATAAACATATGCTATCCACGCAGGCCAGACATTGCAAAGAACAGTGACCATGTGCAGTTAACCATAGCAACCAATCAGACCTCTAAATCCAGTAAACTGAAATCCGATTGGATGCTGTGAGTTGATACACTTTGCAAATCATTATTGCTCTTTGTATTGCTTTATTAAATAATACTGTGTGTTCTGCATAACAAATCTGCTATATTGGCTCCAGTCAGCACAAATGCAACATGCACTTGTAATGTAACATATTAGAGCTGTAATAGAAGCAAGGTAAATGTAATTTATCATTATAGACGGTTTGTTTATATTCACCTGAGAGAATGGGGGAAAAGTACTGATGGCTGGCTGCAAAGAAGAAAAGAAAAGTTTTGTTTGCAGGTAGGCAGGCTCACTGTAGTTTTTCTTTGAAGTGCACCAGGGGTTAAGTTAACATTATTAGCCTGGTGCCTAGATGTAACTTAATATGTAGGTGGCTGCTATCTAGTCCAGGTACCAGTTAACCTGGTCACGTGGTACCTCTGTCCAGCATCCCACCCCGCTCACTGATTGCCAGGAGAATCCCACTCAGCTCCAGTGATGTTAGTGAGCTGGGTGGGACACCAGCCAGAGCATACAAAGGTTCTTAGCAACCTGAGACCCTCTGGCCGGTAGGGGGGCAGCAGGTGTGACCCAATAATATGCCACCTGAGGCAACCATTTCTGCCTACCTCATTATAAGGCCCTGGGGTCACAAAAGAAAAACCTGAAAGAGGTTCTAACCATTTGCATCACTGTACTAAAAAAGTGTTCCGATTGCGGTCTATGTTCATTTCCTCCCAATTCTTGTCTGCGGTGTCACCAGCAACAGGAACACAAAGTGAGGCGAGAGGAGATCTTCGCCGACAGTGATATACTCACAACAATAAATCCTGATTGGAAATTCCAAACCTTCTCTACTTTATCCAAAAGGAAAACAAATAAAACATTTCAAGAACACAAGTTCATGATGACATTTGTTTCATTTGTAATGTAATATGATTTGAATCAGTTGCATTTGACCCCTAAATACCTGACATTCATCTAGAACATAACGGTTATCTCAAAGTCATTTTATACATTGAAGTACCCTTTGGATGAACTAATTTACCAATTATTGGTAAGTATGTTGTTTGGTCACATATCTGAATGAAATACTGGAGTGCACAATTTTATACCAGAAATAAAGTCCACTCCATAGGTGGGCTGTTGCCATACGATGTAGGTATGGACAGCATACTTGCACATTATGGCACACTTACCTCACACAGTGCTCTGCTCTGGTAATGGCAGGTCCAAGCTCCAGTAGCCACTCCAGGTCCTGCAATGCTCCAATTTGACCACCGGTGATGTCATTCCTGTGCATCCTCCTCAGTTCAGCTTAGTTCTGTGGGGACTATACAATGTATGGTGCATGTACTGTGAAGTGTACGTAGAAGCTACAAAATCTGCTGGAGAGCCTGGGGAAAAGTTTTTGCATGTCTCTTCTGCCAAAAACTTCTAGCAGTTATTTTTTGTTACGGGAGTTGAGTTCTGCTTTAGGTTATTTGTCTATATGTGATCATGTTAAACAGAGCCTACCCATACACTACTCATACATGGTGCTTATTGAATGATCGTGTACAGAAGGGAGCAATAATGGGCAATATACAATAATAAGTAGTTACCAATCGCTTTACCTGTTTGGAAGTAAAATGATTGAAACATGAATTCTGATTGGCTGCTACTTGATAATGTGATTTGGTTATTACTATTTGCCTTGTTAACTAAACTCAATGGAATTGGAATAATGCAGTTAATGATTCAGCTGACCTTGTGCAGTAAGGGTTTGATTGGTCAAGTCCACCAAATGTCCCCACAATGTTTAGTAGGTTAGTCTTAAGCAATACCCCTACTAAAATCCACTGGGACAGGCTTCTTACTATAATGATTGTGGTTAAAAATTGGTTGAAGTGATTGGATGAGATCTTACTGTACATGGGCAGCTTTCAATTTAGATGTTATCGCTTGTTTTGAAAACTGTGTATACAGAGATTGCTTTTACTGTCCAGTGCTATATTTTAAAGAGCATATCTGAATAAATGTGATTTTTATGCAAGTGTACTTGTCTTTATTTGGGTGGTTTATAATATGAATCATTGTGATGCTTTACACCTATACAGGGGGCTTACACTGTGTTCAGGGATTCCTGCTGCAAGAACCTACAGATGCTTGTGGCAGGAATCCCAATTGTGCCCATTCAGATGCATCTATCCTACATCCAGGGACAGTCTTCTATCCTGAACTGCAGCTAATCGTACAATTACAAGTGAACTTCCTCTGACAGATGCGGGCGCTGTCACCTTTTCATTAACTTGAACAGGCACAGCGGTCACATCTGATTGGGCAGACCTGGCATTCCTGATACAAGAATCCATAGGTTCTTTCCACAGGGATCGCTGAGGGCAGGATAAGCCCCGTGTGAATGCAGCCTGAAGTTACCCACTGGAGTACCTGGAAATATTTGTCATGGAGCGGTACATTATGTAAACATTTTGTGCATCAGAGTTACATGGGCAGGCATTGTTTATCGGTTTCTTCATGCACTCACCTTAATTGTGTACAGATATATTGTAAAACCTGAATGTATATACATGTTTCCAGACAAACCCCTGTGTCTGGAAAGACAGGTCTATTGAAGGAAACGCACCCTTCTCTACAGCCATCACAATATGTACATAAGACTTGGTGTACACAGCTGGCTGTTCTGTAAACTTTGACCACACAAACTGTAAACATTAATTCTGTCCTGTACACGGGATTATCTATAGCATAACAGAGGCCAATAAAGGTGTGGCACGTCTATTGTGAATATTTATAATGTTCTCCCGGCACCTTTGTGCAGGCAGGTAAAGCTGAGAATATAGACTGAACTGGAAAACTTGTTAAGATACTATGAATGCTGTGTACAGGTACTTCAGTGAAAGACAGAGGTATATTGTCATCGTGGATCTAGTCACTGGCAGTGGTCATCAGTCCATGTTCATTTGTGTTCTATGTGCTTTTTCAATATTTAATTTACTGAATTAAAAATAAATACTTTTTCAACATTTTACTTATAAAGCTAATTCATATGTAAGAAAATATATAGAAAGTCGCATGGCGGGGCAGTTGCTGACTTAATATAATATAGTTGCTGATATAAAAAAAAAAAGGCTAATTTAAAAGAAATTCAGAACAGCCAATAATAAATCACAAATGAGTAAGTACTTCCACTTTTGTGGAAACCACATATTTGTAAGCATTGGTATATAGTTAGTCTGTCTGCCTCTAGCTATCTATAGAGAGAGATAATAAATGTACACTGGTGGTGGGTACCTGATAAACATTACATATATTTTTTATTAATGCAGAAATAAATCAAAAGAAAACTCTTCTGTAGGTCATAGCTTGAACTTGTACAGACACCATGACATGAGGTTATGGCTATAGACAAATCTGTAACCTATGCAATGTCATGGTTCATAACTCTTTCAGATGCCAAATTATCAACTGCAATGCCACCAGCAGTGCCGTGTTAAACCAATATATTCAACAAATTCTGGAGACATTTACATTTGTCACTTTAGTCCCTTCCCTAGAGGAGACTGCATGCTAATGTTGCCATCATACATCCATGGGTGTAATACCCACCCACAATAAGGCCTAATTAGTCATAAGCCTAATTCTACATTTTTGGTTTGCAGAATGGAGCTAAACCTCTCTAGGAAAACCTTTGCAAACATAGGAAAAACATGAAAAATTCCAAGTATATAGGTAGCACCCCCAAAGCTGTACGTGTTTACCATTGTGCTGCCTCACCTGTATGAGAACTCCAACTTGCTAGTGAACATAGCGGAGGGAGCAGTGTTTCTTCCATACTTGGAAAATGTAGCATCTCGGTTTTGTTTTAAACTAACAAAGGTGTACCCATTCCAAAATGGGCAAGGTTGGGGATATTACAAACAAATTATTTTAGATAGGTTTCAAGGAGACATAAATAACATGTGCAAATATGTAGTAAAGGAAAAATCTAAAGGTTTCTATGTGCAGGATAGGAGTGCTGGAGGGAATGACCGCAGGCAGTATGTGCTAGTGAGGAGGAGTTCTGGAGAGTATGAGCGGGCGGTGTGTGCTGGTTAGGAGAGGAGTGTTGGAGGATATGACCGCAAGCAGCATATACAAATGAGAGGAGTGCTGGAGAGTATGAGCGGGCAGTATGTGCTGGTTAGGAGAAGAGTGCTGGAGGGTATGACCGTGGGCAGTATATGCTAGTGCGGAGAAAGGTGCTGGTGGGTATGATAGCAGGTAGTATATGCTGGTGAGAATGGGAGTGCTGGAGGGAATGACAGTGTGGTGTATGTACTAGTGAGGAGAGGGGTGCTGGAGGAGGGAATGATGGCAGGCAGTATGTGCTGGTGGGTATGACATTGGGCAGTTTGTACTGGTGAGGAGAGGGGTACTGGAGGGAATGAGAGCGGGCAGTATGTGTTGGTGAGGAGAGGAGTGCTGGAGGGAATGATGGCAGGCAGTATATGCTGCTGAGAAGGCGAGTACTGGAGGGAATGACAGTGTGGAGTATGTGCTGGTGAAGACAGGAGAGCAAATAGCCTGACAGGGACGTATGTGCCAGAGAGAAGTGCATAGGTTACTACAGGGGGCAGCATCTCCCAGAGATGTGCAGAGGTTAGGACAGGGGTAGGCAACCTTGGCATTCCAGCTGTTGTGGAACTACAAGTGCCATAAGGCATTGCAAGACTGATAGTCACAGGAATGACTCCCAGAGGCAGATGCATGAAGGGATTTGTAGTTTTACCACAGCTGTGGGGTGAAGTTTGGCTACCCCAATGTAACCATTTTAACACTTGGGATGCCATTGCTGGCCATACTTTAAAACTATAATTGCTTGATTTGGCCTGGCTTCAAACACCTGAAAC